CAGACCACGAGACTTCAGAGAACAGATCCAACTGAAGGGTGATCATGTTTTTACTCACGTCTGTTTGAACAGTTCTCTGATGAATTCAAGGCCGAGAATTTCTTCAAGGAATGTACATCACCCGCTGCCTTTCATCATCGTCTTTAGTTAACAGTAGCTAAAAGTAGCAAAACATAAGCTGGCAGCTATAACAAGCAAAGCAGCTAAAAAAAGAAAGAAAGTAGCAGCTAAAAGGTAAAAGAAGCAGAGTGGCAGCTAAAAGCTTAAAGGAGTGAAGCAGCAGCTTAAAGCTAAAAGAAGCAGAGTGGCAGCTAAAAGCTTAAAGGAGCGGAGTAGCAGCTTAAAGCTAAAAGGGACAGAGTGGCAGCTAAAAGCTTAAAGGAGCGGAGTAGCAGCTTAAAGCTAAAAGGGACAGAGTGGCAGCTAAAAGCTTAAAGGAGCGGAGTAGCAGCTTAAGGCTAAAAGGGACAGAGTGGCAGCTAAAAGGAGGGAAGCAGCATTTTAAAGCTAAAAGAAGCTGAATGGCAACTCAAAGCTAAAAGGACCAGCGCAGCAGCTTGAAGCTAAAAGAAGCAGAGTGGCAGCTGAAAGGACCAAGCTGAATGGTAGCTAAAAGCTAAAGGGAGGGGAGCAGCAGCTAAGGTGTTTCAGCTGTGGCGGCCATCTTGGATCAGGTTGATTTCATAGGGTAATTCATTGTAGACATACACACTGCGATTACTTCAAGAGTTTCATTCTCTTCAATAGTTCACGAGATATTTTGCTAACACACACACACACACGGGCTGTACCATTACCACTCTGCCTCTGCCTTTGAGCAACAATGATCCGTTCTTATGAGGGTTTAATTTCTGTGAAATGGTGTTGCACTAATTTACCCTAAGAGAACACTTTCAAACTCCGGACACCTCGAACATTCAGGGTTTTACCCGCTCTGCGTCGTCATGGCAACCACTAAGCGTTTACTGCCGACGCTGTCCTGAAAACGAGAGCGCAGGTTTGGACCCACACCTGAATCCTCTCTGGTCCTGGTGCTCATCTCACACATCGTCACCAGGACCGACCTCGCTCCTCGAAGAGCCCAGAACAAGAGCCGGTTCAGACGTTTGAGGCTGACGCTCAGACAGCGAAGTGTTCGGGCCCACCTCCGGTTCTGACAGCAGAGTTTCACATCACATCCCTTTCAGCTCGGACAGCTCCGCTGACGGCCGGCGCGTCCGACAGGTAAAAACCTGCAGGTTTGAGCTCCTGACCGCTCGGAGGCGTTCGCCGCTGAACACCAACAGGCATGAGCGCGTCTCATGACAGATGGGCCAACCGGTGTAAAACGACCAGACGGCGCGGCGGTCAGTGAAACGTTTGACAGCTTGTGTCACCGACCAATCAAACAGCTGGTGGGGGGGAGACGAGCCGTCGCCACGGTAACGAGGAACACCTGACGTTACTCAACCTGCCAGGTAAACCTTTTACAGACGGTCGGCCACTAAAGGAAACGAAACATCTTCAGTTAAAGACGTGAGGAGGAAGATCATAAATGAGTTCAGAGCTTCAAGATTAAAGTGAAAACGCTGAGAAAAGTCGAGGCATTTCAAGAACGAGCCCGAGAAACTGAACCGGGTTTTTCTTCTGAACCCAACTACGATGGCTCCGTTTGTTTCGTATCGCAGCTGACGACTCGTTTCCACTGAGACAGAGGGCGTTCTGGATTCAGGCGGAGGTGCAGTTCGTACCGACAGCTCCACAGCAGACATCATGGAAATGACACCACGAGCGTTTGATTCGAACAGAACACGGTCCAGATGTGTCTTTGGGCTCTTTACAGGATCCACAGGAACGTCCAGCTGTGATGGACGCACCTCTTCCAGGCAGCTTCCAGCGTCGTTCATTTTTACAACGTCCCCTATGGACTTCTACAAATCAAAACTGTAAAGAAAAATCCAACAATTTTCAGTCAGGTCATCTGGACAGTTTCTTTTTTTGCTGAAACGTTTCACCTTCCATCCAGAAGGCTTCATCAGTCAATGAAACACGCAACACAAGAATGATTCTTCCTCCAAACATCTTACTCCAAAGTGGAACAAACCAGTTCTGTTGGTGCTCAGATGGTGTCTTGGGCACGCCCCCTCCTCTGGAGCCGGCCCTCTCCCTCGTCGACAGTCACGTCAAACTGGTTCAAAACCAAAAAAAGAAACCGTCCAGATGACCTGACTGAAAATTGTTGGATTGTATACCTGGATTATTGATCATGGACTTTGTTGGTTTTTGTAAAGAAAAAGTAAAAAAAAAAAAACATAATGAAAATAATGTAAATCTTCTTCTTCTTTCGGCTGCTCCTTCTTCAGGGGTCACCACAGAGAACTAACTCGCACGAAGTTGTTTTTAAGATGGACGCCCTTCCTGACCAACCACAGCCTCCGTGTGGAGCAGAGGGCTGCCATCTAGGGTGTCCGGCGGAGCAGAGGGTGGGGTTAAGGGCCTTGCTCAAGGGCCCAGAGTGGGGCAGATGAGGGTGGAGGCAGGTGTGGGTGCTTCACCTATCTCACCCACATTTTGATGTTGTCGGTCCAGGGGATCGAACCGACGATCTTCCGATCACAGGCCCACCTCTAACCTCTGCGCCACCTCTCCCCCAATAAAAATAGAAATAACGTAAACACGGGATGAAGAATGCGTTTATAAAGGGAACACCAGAGGCACGATTTGACACCGCTGCCCTCCTCCTGTTTACCGGCTCTCCTGGTCCCAGTGAAAAAGCAAACGAGTGTTTGTCTCTGCATTTAACGAGGAAAGAGACGAAGGAACTCCGAGGAGGAAACAACACAACGGCTCTTTATCGTCCGGTCCTTATCGTTCGCCGAACGTCTTCCCAAAACTCCAGATTTGAATTTAAAAAAAGTCAACAATTTAATTTGGGTGTCGAAGGGATTATGCCACTTTTCACAAAAGAAATAAATACATTTTTCAGTCTCTATAAATCTTAATTGTGGCGTTTTACTTTCTAAACTAAAGGAACTCAAGGGGCTAACATTCAAAAGAAATAATTTAAATTTGATATTTTTATTTCTGGTTGTGGTAGCTGTAAAATATCGGCTACTTTAAACAAACAAAAATATGATATTTTACAGCAGTTGTATAAGATGGTCGATTTTTCTCCTAATTAGCAATTATTTTCAATAACTGTCAAAAAATGGAATTATTATTAAGTTAAATGACTTTTTGAATTTGCCTTAAATGAAACTTCACGTTTTGGTGTTGATAAAAATGAAACAGTTTCATTATGAAATAGTTTTTGATTTTGGTATGAGATCCCATTTGCTGCCTGCACTTCACAGGGATTTTTGCACATCCTACACTTCTTTACATCCTTGTTTTTTCTCAGCTTTAAAGACCTGGAAATATAATTTTGCGACTAGAAACGTTAAAGTAGATCTCTTTAATTTAATTCTGTGCGGAAAGAATTAAATTGTGAGCGGAAGGAGCTCTTTTTGACCGCTAAAGAAAGTAATCAGAGATGAGTTCCCACGAGTAAAATCGAGTGAAATTTGAACGGAGTTTGGTGAGGCCGCCCCTGACGGCCCCTCCCCCTCCCCCGCCCTCTCGCTCTGTCAGCACGTGCCTCTGTTGAAGCTCGCGCGCAGCCTGTAAAATTTGAACGGAGTTTGGTGAAGGCCCCTCCCCCCTCCCTCCCTCCCGCCCTCGCGCTCTGTCAGCGCGTGCCTCTGTTGAAGCTCGCGCGCAGCCTGTAAACGCACACTCGGAGCGGAGCGGGCGCCACAACTCCTCCTCAGAGCCACCACCTCCTCCTCCGCGGCGGACGGAGGGATGCTGAGCAGCGGAGCCCCAGCAGCAGCACCGGCGGCGGAGGCGGGCAGGAGCAGCGGCTCCCCGGGGCTTTAAAAAGTTCAGGAGGACCCGCTTCAGCACCGGAGGAGGGCTCGAGCCCGGCGGCCCGCCCGGGTGGATCTATGCTCGGAGTTTTTCGGATGGATTCGGACGGACTCGTGTAACGGATTCCTCTCGTTTTCATATATATATATTTTAACGGATCCCGGGACCTGCTTGTGGGGTAGGTGACCGACCGTTACCGCCTCCTTCCGCCCCCGGGACGGAGCACCGACAGCAGGTGCGTACGGACCAGGACTCCTTCACCTGCGGCGTCAGCCCCAGTTCTGTCCCCAACGGCGGGAAAATAAGTTACCGGACCGGCGGAGGGATTTCACCGAACTGATCGGATAACTCCACCAACAACCCGTTAATGAAACAAAAAATGAATTTCCGGATGATGGATTGAAAAAAAATCGGTATTTCCACGTCGTCCTCTCGGGGCTCCGCTGCCCCGCAGCCCGGCAGCCGTGTCCCCGGTTATCAATCAGCTTTAATCCGGTTTTAATCCATCAGCCTCATGAGGCAGGGCAGTGAACGATCCTCCGCCGGTGAAATAAACCCCCAGCTGATCCACTTAACCCTCCAAAGACCAGAGACTCGTTAATCTGCTGAAGACTCTTCATCTGGCAAGTGAAAGGCTCATTTCTAATCTGCAAGGAGAAATTAAGGATTAAAACCACAAGCATGAAGACAAATCGACGTCTCTAATTGAACAAATATCAATTAGTGTCTTTAATGTTGTTTTAAACTGATTAACCAATGTCGACCCCACGAGGGTCCGAACGGGTCTAAGCTTTGTCTCGGTTCTGGAGGAGATCAGATGAACTTCCTGCACCCTGGACGACTGCACGTGTTCGCTCAAGCGTTGGGTTACGACTCGTCCAGAACCATTTCTGTCGTCTTTTAAACCCCGAGGAAGACGAGTTCAGCTCTCCCGCCTCTGTCTGAGGAGGTTTAGAGTTGAGCTTACCCAGCTGATCCCCAGTGAACTCTACGGATGTTTAGCCACATCCTCAACAGCATACCTCCTCCTCCTCCTCCTCCTCTTCCTCTCTTTCAGTGTCCCGTGCCATCTGAACATTGATTTTCCTCCCGCCGCAAAACTGACACGCACACAACTCGTCCTCTCTGTGCCCGTTGAGTTGCCGGAAACGTTAGACGTGCGGCGGTGTTGGGTTTCTACCTCCAGCCGGAGCTGAAGGGCGTTCGTCACAGCCGGAGGTCGGAGGTCAACGTTTCTGCCGTTGGATCAGATCTGAGCATAAATGAGTGTTTTCCAGAACTGGCCGCTGACGCTGAACTTTATCTTTTTATTGCTGCTGTACTGACGTTTCCTGACAAATGGGACTCAACGACAGCAGCCCCGGCGCCATGCGGAACGGCCGCGGCCTGTCGGACCAGTGGGCAGAGTCGGTGGTGGTCCGAGGCCGGACCACGGAGCGCCACATCACTGTGCACAAACGCCTGGTGCTGGGCTTTGCCCTGTCCATCATTACCCTGATCATCGTGACGGTGGTGGCCGTGGTGCTCAGCCTGCGGTTCGACAGCTGCGGCGGGCGGGATCGCAAAGGATCTACCGGGGAGATGGGTTCCAGGGGGTCCGGAAAACTGAGCGGGAACAGAGGGGACAAGATGGGGGAGAGAGGGGACGAGGAGGTGGTCCAGCCCTGGAAAAACTCTCGGCTTCCTGGTTCGGTGAGGCCTCGACACTACGACCTACGGCTCGCCGTCTACATGGACAACTTCACCTTCTCTGGAGAAGTCAGCATCGAAGTGGAGTGCGTCAACGCCACCCGGTTCATCGTGCTGCACGCAGATCGCCTCGAGGTACGCCAACATCAGTAAAGGTCTGAAGGGAACTTAGATACCCGCAGTGTTCTTAGTAAGTTCAGTCGAAGGCAACTGGACTTCGTTTTGGGTCTTAAAAACCTTTCACTTGCAAAGAGCTCAAAAGTTTCAGTTGAGGAAGTTCTTCAGACGAGATGTGAACCGAGGATCACAAAAGGAGTCCAGTTGCCTTTGGGGCGGCTGTGGCCGAGCGGTTAGAGCAGTCGTCCTCCAGTGGGAGAGCTGGGGGTTCGATTCCAGCAGCAGTCACATGTTGAAGTGTCCCTGAGCAAGACGCTGAACCATCAGTGTCTGAGTGTGACAAAGCTCTGATTGATGTTTGTAGAGATCTAGTATAGAGCTGTATGAACGGGTTAATGAGGCTCAGATTGTTGTAAAGAGCTTTGAGTGTCTCTGTCAGACGGAACGGTTCTATATAAGTACAGTCCATTTATTGTAGAACTTTCTAGAATCAGAACATTCGACTGTCAGTCCAGTGATCCTGAAGGGTTTGACCCGTCTCAGCCTTCCTGAACCATCTTTGAGTGTTTGAACCATAAAAAATGCTCGTAGGGATCTGTACAAGTTAAACATTTGGGCCAGATACAAAACGATCCCCTGGAAAGTCCAGAGACCCGATGTGAGATCCCTGAAACGGAACCGAACCTGACTCGGAACTGAGTCAGGACTGTTTACCCAAACGTACCGGTGGTTTGAAGAGTGTCCACTCACCAGTGTCGGTTCTCCAGTGGTTCTGATGGTTCATGTTCTTACAGAACCAGCAGTTCTTTAGAACCACGAGCCGACCAGATCCTCTCAGTCTGCCAGTTTTACGCTCAAAGGATCCATTTCTGCTCATGCCCTTTCAAAATAAAACCTGAGCTGCAAAACTTGCTTGAAATAAAAACGCGTCATTAAATGTTATTTAATGAAATAATATTTTTTTGGACTTCTTAAAAAATAGTTTTTACACATTCGGACAGAAAGATCAGAACTGTGCAGTACGGGCCTTTTTAAAATAAAAAACAAGTTTCCTATTTAGAAATAATAAAACAGAAGCTCGTATCATAATAAATAATTAGTGAACGTAATAATTAGGTCGTATTTTTGGATTTTTATTTGTGACTGAATTATTTTATAAAGGCAGAAACCGTCCTGGAACTTTTATTAAAGGTTCATCAAAAGGCAAACATAGATTTAGAATAGAATTGAATAGAAGCAGCCTTTATTGTCCCGCGGATGGGAAATTCAAGTTTTTACCATGGATAGGCTAGCTAAACAGTAGCTAAAGGCTAAGACCAGCTAAACAGTATCTAGAAGCAGACCAGTTCAAAAGTAGCTAACAGCTAAAACAAGCCATCAGCTAAAAGCTAAAACAAGCCAGACTAACTTGAATCTAAAACTGGTAAAATATTAGCTAAAAGGAGCAAAACATCAGCTTTAAGCTAACAGGAGCCAACCATTATCTAAATGCTACAATAGGCTAAACATAAGCTAAAAGCTACAGTTGATGTAGACATTTTAAAGCAGCCAAAGTCTTTTCCTAACAGAAGTGTTTGTGTCTAAAAGTCTGCTCAGTTTTAGTAAAAACAAACTCCGAACAAAGAATGATTCAGCCTCGGAGGTTCCTTTATCGAGGCCAATTAGCAGCTAAAGTTTCTGTTTCAGCTCCGAGCTGAGCCTGCGGTGAGCGAGGGAAACGCCGGAGCGGCAGGATTCTTCACACCGGCCGGCCGGGCGAACGTGAGAGATGGATAAATGCGTCTTAATTTGGGCCAGGGCCAATTAAAAGCCCCGCAGCCTCGCCGCTTGTGTCGGAGCGCTCGTTGAATTAATGGGTTCTGTCGGGCGGCAGGCCGGTTCTCCTGCAGGAACGTCACAGTTAATGTGTTATGAAAAGAAAAATTGTCAAGATGTGAAAAAGCCCTGAAAAAAGAAGGTGCAAAAAATGTAAAAAGGTGTTTTTAAAGTAAAAAAGCTGGTGTGGAGACGGAGGGACAACACGCTTTTATCAAATATGAAGACATGAATCATGAGAAAATACACGCTGCCATGACCTTTGACCTTTGAACCATGTGACCAAAGACCAGCCAGGGCATACATGCTGCCATGACCTTTGACCTTTACAGTCTGGAGAGTCAGGGTTGGAAAGAAGTGTTCATGAGACAGTATTTTAATGATGTTTACAACTTTTATTGTACAATTTTCATCCTTATCAGGTGCAATAAGCTAAGACCTGCTAAACAGTCTGTACAAGCTAAGACCTGCTAAACAGTCTGTACAAGCCAAGACCTGCTAAACAGTCTGTACAAGCTAAGACCTGCTAAACAGTCGCTACAAGCTAAGACCTGCTAAACAGTCTGTACAAGCTAAGACCTGCTCAACAGTCTGTACAAGCTAAGACCTGCTAAACAGTCGCTACAAGCTAAGACCTGCTAAACAGTCTGTACAAGCTAAGACCTGCTAAACAGTCTGTACAAGCTAAGACCTGCTAAACAGTCTGTACAAGCTAAGACCTGCTAAACAGTCTGTACAAGCTAAGACCTGCTAAACAGTCTGTACAAGCTAAGACCTGCTAAACAGTCTGTACAAGCCAAGACCTGCTAAACAGTCTGTACAAGCTAAGACCTGCTAAACAGTCGCTACAAGCTAAGACCTGCTAAACAGTCTGTACAAGCTAAGACCTGCTAAACAGTCGCTACAAGCTAAGACCTGCTAAACAGTCTGTACAAGCCAAGACCTGCTAAACAATCTGTACAAGCCAAGACCTGCTAAACAGTCTGTACAAGCCAAGACCTGCTAAACAGTCGCTACAAGCTAAACTTGCTAAACAATAGTTAAAAGCTAAGTTGAGAGAAACTAATTTAAAATAAAAACCAAGAACACAGTAAATAAATGCTACTACTGTCAAACAGTAGCTAAAAGCTAATTCTGTTAAACAGCAGCTAAAATGTAAAACAGCTTGTATTTCCTGATTGGGTACGTTGTTGTACCAAAGTGTTCAAAAATGGACCAGAATGCATTGCAGCAGCTAACGTGCGCTGCTCACCGTGGAGGTTTTCAGACTTGTTTTTAACAGGAAGTCTCCTGAGCTGCTGAAACTTTTACTGTAAACCATCAAACGACACGAGAAGCCCAGTGTGTCTCCAGGGAATGCATATCGCCCGCTGCCTTCAAGTTTTAGCCTGAGCTCGTCTCAAGCTGATGGTTCGGATCCTGCTGGTTCTGAGCACTCAGCAGAGGCGGGACAAAGATCTGAGTCTAAACGAGACGACCTGCAGGAGCGGTGTCCAGATGTCCATTTCCACAAAGTCCAACTGTCTCAGAGTTTGCTGACTCAGCAGAAGAGCCTGGAGCAAATCGGTCTAATCCTGGAGACTTCCTGTGCTGTCAGGAGGCCCTCGGCCCGCATCCATCACAGAACCAGAACTCTGTTGGTCCCGGTACAGAGCCACTGATGAGGGATAACCTGAGACCAGAAGGTCTCAAACCACCATGTTTTAATCTGAAGCCAGACGTTCGAACTGAGACACGTGGGTCAAATCTACTGATGACTCTCAGCTACTACCACACCACATGTGGCCGAAGTTACAGCCAGTTCTGTGTTGGCCCAGGTGGCCTAGCTGCGGCAGCCATCTTTAATAATCTGACGGTTGTTTGCTCTGTGGTTTGTTGGTAATATGAAAAAAACAACGATCCTGAACGACATTAAACATGGTAAAAACAGAACTAGACAAACAAACAAACAAACAAACAAACAGGAGGAATCCATAATAAATAAAAGAAGATTAAAATAAACACATTAAAAGTTCCTGAATGGACAACGTTAAACTTTAATAAAAGCATAAAAACCGTCTCCTTCCTGGAATAAAATGTTTTGATTGAATCTTTCGATTTGATTTGAACTTTTGGCTGCGCCTGGAAAAGCCTCGCGCCGCGTCCTGTTGAGTGGAAGTCAAATAAAAGATGGGTGACTCGGGGCTTCAGCAGCTCCTGGAGTTGGAAAGTGACATGATCTGAAACTGGTTCTGCTAAAACAGCTGAACTGAACCTAAATGCTGAAAATCATTCAGCTAAATGAGATGAGCTAAAACTAACACTTTAAGGAGAACAGAGACTAAAAGCATCAAAAAATGAGCCGAACAGAAACTGAACACCTCACTTTCTAAAAAAGAAACAGGACATTAGCTAAATTCAGCAAAACATAAGCTAAAATTAAATTCGTAGTAAAAATGAGCCAAACAGTAGCTAAATATCAGCTATGATTGCTAAAATTAACTAAACAGTTGCCAAAAGTAGAACAGATACTAAAATTAAAAAAGCAGGATGGCAGCTAATGTAGCAGAACAAAAGCTGCTAAACTGCAGCTAAAAGCTAAAATGAAAAAACCGTTCACCTTAAATTGGCCAAACAGTCTCTAAAGATAAAAGTAGCATAACAGCAGCCAAAAAACAGCACACCTGAAGCTAAAAGCTAAATCTAAAAAGGGCTAAATGGATGCTAAAGCTAAAAGGAGCTGAATGACATGTTAAATTGTAGATAAAAAGCTGAGAGCAGCTGAATCAGTTCAGTGTTTTGAAGCAGCCGAAGAGATCTCGTGGGTTTTCTGCAATAAATGCATTTTAAATAAAGTTGAGTGTTTTTCAGCGTAAAGTGAAATGAGAAACGTCCCAACATGGTTTCAGTTGTAGCTGCTGATGGAGCAGGGTGAGTTCAGCCCGTCTCCCACAGAACCTCCTGCAGCGGACCGGTTCTCCACTCAGAAGCGAGCTCCGCTCCTGCGTCGCCCACGTGTCCTCCGTCCTGCAGCTCCTGCCTGCTTCCATGATTATTGTCCCTCTGCGCGGACAGTTTTGGTGACACTTTATTGAATTAGGGCGCTCCCCGCTCGCTTCGACTCGGAGCTCGGGGCCAGGTGGGAGCACCTGCGTGGAGTTAACGAAGGAGGTGCTCAGTTCTTCTGTCACATTTATTTCTCCGTAGTTCCTGAACGCCTCCTCTTCATCACCTGAGCTGCGGAGCGCAGAAACCAGACCAACATTTATGTACCGTTGTTTAACTGTCGGGTCACCGTGGCAACATGATTGACATGTGGACCAGCACCTGGCTGTGAATCAGCCGTTGCTTGGCAACAACGTCCACCTGACCGACCGTGGATGCTGTGGATCGGGAGAAGTGAACACTGTTTGTCAACATGGCGCTGATTGTCAGAACCAGCAGAGGGCGCTGTTCAACCCAGAGTCCGTCAGTCAAACGACCGTCTGTCCAGTGGTTCACGAGATATTTTACTAAACGATAAACAGACAAAACAATATCAGTACTTTTCTCTAGTTCTCATGTTCTGCCAAAGTTTTTAAAAACGACCAAGCGTGTCTCCGTTAGGATCGTTTCCATAGAAACCGATGGGTCTCTACAGCAGAACCATCCTGAGATTAACCGGGTCACAGAAGTTTGGACTTCATGGACGGAAGCAGAGTTTTAACGTCTTTATTTGTTAAAAGTCACAGTTTCACTTTGATTCTGGAGATTTTTCCACCCAACGTTCGACCTTCTGGGACGTCTTCACGCTGCTGGACGTTTCAGTTGAAACATCAAATCGAGGATATGTTCATCTCCTTCCAACCGGCGAGTCTCTCGGCCGCAGGACTTTAGGGACTTCTCTCAAAGGTCAGAGGTCACAGGTCGCACACCCGTAGCCCAGCTCAGACTTTTCCCTTCAGAACTGGAAGTGAAGGCACTTTTTTCGTTCCATCTTCTCCGTAAAACACCAGAAACTACCGTCACCGTGTCGGTCAGAACCTTCTGACCTTCCAGTTCAGGAACTTTATTTTAATGCGACCCGTTTAGCCGCACAGCAGAACAGAACCATTTAGTAACATCTGTCCAAATGATTGAATTAGTGTTTAACTGCGTGTCAATATTGTTAAAACAACCGAGTGCTTTAAAGAACAACCAGAAAGATTGTATTTCCCGTGGAAATACAGCGCGAACGCTTATTGCAGAAGAACTTGCTGAAAAACAGCTGAAATTAGATAACATGCTGAAATGTAGCTGAACTGGAAGAACAAGCCTAATTTAGCAGAATAAAGCAGAAATAACACATATTTGCTAAATTAGGTTTAAATGAGCAGAAATGAGAAAATTAGCTAAAAAAGGCTGAATTTAGTAATAAATTGCTGAGAAGTAGTTGAAAAGGCAGAAAGAAGCTTTAACTATCAGAAGGAATCAGCAAAAATGAGCTAAAAATGTGGAATTACCTGAAAAAACTAAAATTAGCATAAAGCAGCTAAATAGTTGCCGAAATTGCAGGAAAAAATTAAACTTGCAGAAATAAGCTGAAAGGAGCATAACAAGCTGAAATAATCAGAAATAAGTTAGAATAAGCACAAAAATGTTGCAGAAAGAATCTGAAAGGAGCACAAACAGCTGAAAAAACAGCTAAAATTAGTTGAATTTTTTTTAATTTGCAGAAGGAAGCTGAAGCAGAACAAAATGTGAACGGAGCAGTAAAAGGTTGTAAACAGAGCTAAAGATTTGAAGGATGGAAAATGAGCTCCGTTCATTTTCTATGAGAAAAATGGCAGAAAAGGCTAAAATATTTCAAAAAGCTAAAGTTGCACCAATGCCAAAAGTCATCGCACTCCTCACCTGAAGGAGCTGAACGTTCTGATTAATGATTTGTTGAAATTGATGAAAAGTTCAGGACGAGAATCAAACAGAAGAATCTGGATCAATAAGAGCATGTAGAACCAGGACAAGAATATCTTCAGCAGTCATCTGTTTAAATTAAGGACTGCTGGATTATATTTTAGCCCGTCCTGGTCGTCAGTTTTTCACGACAGAATTATTTACGTAGATTTCTCTGGATTTGTGTTTTTATCAAACGTGTGAACGAATGTTTCCTTTAAATCTCCCCGAGGAAAAACAGGAAGCTGTTGTCTGACGCTCCTCTTCCTCCTTCAGGTGGACCGGGTGTCCGTCACGGCCGAGAGCGGCGCTGGCGGCCGCCCCGCCAACAGACCAGGGGGCGGAGTCATGCGCATCCACCGCCACTTCTCGTACCCGGCCAACCAGATGTACGTGGTGGTTCTGCACCGCGAGCTGAAGCCCCTGAGGGTTTACCGTCTGAACGTGAGCTTTGACGCCGCCATCGAGGACGAGCTGCTGGGCTTCTTCAGGAGCTCCTACACCCTGCACAGAGACAGACGGTACACACACACACCTCAACTGGACCATGACCAGCACATGGCCAGCCCTAAAGATGGTGTCCTACAGGGCCGTGTTCTCGGGGTTCTCGGCTTCTTGACCTCCCATGGCTTCACTTTAAACTGCTTCATTAAATTTCTGCTTATCAGAGTCGACGCCTCAAACCGTCTGAATTTAGTCGTGGTCATCTCCGGCCCACTTCAAGAGCACTGCAGCTGGAAGGAGCTGAATGTCAGCTAGAGGCTACAAGTAGCAGAGGGGGAGGATAAAAGCTAAAAGTAGCTCAAGAAGATCAAAGCAGAGGAAGTTTATGAAAACAGATGTAAAAGAGAAGAATGTTTCTACAGGGAAAATATTAGAAAGTATAAAAGTTACAGTGACTCAGCATTTACACTATTGCTAACCCTGCTGCTGCCCTGGGCTCAAGATGCCTCAGGAGTCATTTTGACCCCAGGACAGCAGCAGGGTTTAAAAGAACTGGTCAGGATCTGCCCGTCTTCATGTCCCACCAGGCCTACTGGTCCTCACAGGGTGGGTGGTTCTAGTAGTAAAGGTCGGTCACACACACACTGATGTTTTTCAAGCAGCAGCAGGTGGTTCGACTAGAAAAGGTCAGAGCCTCACATCCGTGTCATTGATTAACTCACACACCGCTCGCATAATGTGTGTGTGTGTGAGACAGGGTGTGTGTTCCAGAAATCATACCCCACACACACACACACACACATACACACGTGTGCGTTCTGAGTTTGCCGTCAGCCTCTGAGCTGTTCCCACGTCAGGTCTCGTCCACACAGCGCTGATGCTTTCATTATTTCCTGCGTGTTTCTGCGAGCGTTGCCATGGTGACGGATCATTTTGTCAGCGTCTGTTCCACGTATTGCCAAAACACACAGTCAGACTTAATGGATCTAATTAGAAAAGCTCACTGCGAGTCTGTTACGAGACAGAAACCTGAGGCTCGGGTTCTGATCAGGTCTGATCGGTTCTGATGAAGGTTGCATCGTCAGAATAATTCAGCTCACCATGAAAGTTTGATTTTATTTTGTAGATAATCCCAGGGATTGTTAGGTATAAGGATGGATGTTACTAAACTCATCTGAAACTCACTTTCTAGTTTTTATTTAAAAGTTTATTTTCCTCAAATGAATCTGTGGGGGCCCAGGCCACCATGGCTACCCCCCCGGCTCCTCCACTGCCTCTGGAGGTGGATAAATCTCTCCCTCTCTCCAGGATCCGTCCCTCTGCCTCGGACAAGCACAGTGGAACTGCTCCTCTTTTCTGTATCTGGCACCAAAAACATTGAGGTTTACTTTTTGCATTCCCTGTGATGAAAAACACTCATCTCAAAAATGACAAACCTTCTCTAGGTGGGGCGTCAACGTACCACGTTGCTAAAGATGGGAAGCCTCCTCATCTGATCTGAAACAGTCATCAAAGCACCTGATTGATCTGGGATTATATGAATAATGAAGGGGGGGCACCTCCTCTAACCTCTGCGCCACCACTCCCTCACATACCCTCTAAATATGTCCAGATCATTTTTGGAGCTTTTACCTAATTTGAACTGAAGACAGGTAAGACTTGACGCTGCAGCCTCATTTCCCTCCATATTCATAAACATATATTTATTAAAAACAATGTTCAGGGTGTTGCCTTTACAGAGAGCCCAAGCTTTTGAATTTACTCCTAAGAGCTCAAGAACAACATTTAATTTAATTGAGGTGTATTTGTTCAGGCATGTTCATCATCTTGTTTGGCAGCTTTAAACAGATTAAAGTTAAAATTTTTATTCTCATAACCTACAAAAAACCAGGTTTCAGATTTATTAAACTTTATTGTGAACACCTCGGTGCACATTTCAAACTCGTAGCTGTTTCAGAAGAAAGAAAAGCGTAAACACGTTAATTTCGCTCCACGTGACGCCTGTTTTGTCGGGGGAGGAGCAGATAATCAGGTTTGCTCCGAGTTGTTTTGGTTTAGTTTCACGGCCGATGGTCCCGTGTTCTGTGGCTGCTTCTGTTCGGATCAATCCCGGGTCGATCCGGCAGCTGCTGAACCAGCAGAGCTCGATCACAACAACCCGCTGGTTAAAGTTAAACGCTGCATCTGAGAGCAACCTGATGACTCGGAGCGTAACCCGTTTATTTACGTCGCCCAGTTTCAACGAGGGGAACGCGCTGGAGGAGTCTCAGGAGGGCGGCGCTGCGAGAGTTCAAAGGTCGGCTGGACCCGTGAAATAAATCCATCAATGGAAAACGTTGGGAAAATTAAAGACTTCCTTCAGGAACGCAGAACAGATCGTGTAACGTGGAGAAAACAAAAATAATACGTGAACTCAGAGGAAGTGCCGACTGTCGGCTACTACCACGCCGACCTTTAGCCCAACATCTGTCAGACTCTAAGACAGTTTTGTGTTTGCTACAGTCCAGTAGCTGTGGCGGCCATCTTGTGGACTCATTCCAAAAGTTATAGACGTCTACCCGATGACGTCATTAAAATCTGTCTAGTGGTTTACGAGATATTTTGCTAACAGATCATTTTGACTCCAATCGTTATCGTCAAAACGTTAGCATTCAGGGACGACTTTCAGCAACTACCACACCAGAACTTTGCTCATTAGCTGTAAAACTGTTTTTTTTTGTGTGTTTACGTGGGGTGCTTAGCGGTGGCGGCCATCTTGGATCAATCTTAATCCAAATATTTAGTCATTTTTTGATGCAAATTAAATTATTACCTTCAGAACATTTCCTTAATCTTAAAATTTGGTCAGAAATATTTTGCTAACAGGAAAATCTTTGCTGTTCTGCTGTAATTTCGTTGCGCTTCGGTGCAATGACAACAAAGCTGATTCTAATTCTGACTCCGTTAGCATGGTGGCTAACGAGCTAAATTAGTTCAAACACGCCTCATCATTTTCATATAATGTTTACTTTTAAATGAAACTCGTCTTCTGGATGAAAACAGTGTCTGCTCACATTGCACAGAGCTGACGTGCGCGCGCGTGTGCGTGCATGTTAGCTTATGGATTAGCTTGATGCAACCATGCGGCTAATGCTAACACAGTGAGATCTGCTTTAATGTCCAGAGCTGCTGTGAATCCTCGGCTGATGGGGAGAGTTATTCAGCTCTCGCTCCGGATCCCCGTCAACACAAACATTTAATCCTCAAAGAAGTCTGGGAAACAAACAAACAAACAAACAAACACGTTAAAATATAAATATATTTAGCATCATTCTGCCCTCTGCCGCCACTGATCAGCTGTTTTTCTGCAGATGAGAAATAAAAACGTTTTGTTTACTTCAGATGATCTTATTGTCCTCAGTTCAGCACTAAAGATGGCAAAGACGTTTTGTCTGAGTCTGTTAGCAAAATATCTCCTGACCATGATCAGATATTAATGAAACTTGTAGTGTGTAATTCTACAGCTGACACTCAGCTCATTGCAGATATGTAGCTAATGTTTTTTGTGGTAGTAGCTGAGAGTAATCCCCAACACATACTCTGAGCACAAACAGATGCTTTTAAAACAGTGGCGTTAACAGTTACGGTCAGTTCTGTGTGTCTGTTAGCAAAATATCTCTTGAACCAATGGATGGATCTTAATGAAACCTTTAGGAAAATAGTTATTGGTGTTTACTGAAAATGCATCAACTTTTGGAGTAAATCTGATTCAAGATGGCCACCACAGCTAATCAACCATTCCTAGAGTGGTTATGGAGGAGGAAGATGAGCGGTGCAGAGCGTTGAAACGACCGGCGCCGTCATGGATTCAAACTACCGGCACGGTTTCTGTGACTCATCGTCACATTTAGCTGTAAACAGAGTTTTCAAACAAAATCTCCGGTGAGTCTGAGTTACGTGAACGCCTCAAACGGCCGTTTAATTTCGTGGAAATCGTCAGAAACAAGAATTCAAATCAAAAACAATAAAAAGTGTATTTTGACGTCAGTGCAGGCTTTGAGGCCTAACGGTTTTAGACTAACAAAAAGTGACACTTGCCTTCTCCTTTACATTGTGAGACGTTGCGCTCAGAGTAAGTGTTTTTAATGACTCTCGGCCACTACCACTCCGTGTGTCAGCTCGGTGTCTGTGAAAGTGTTCGTCACGTTTGGTTGCCTGCAGTGTAGACGTGCATCCAGAGGTTACTTTCTGCAAAATTTAATGAAATCTGTCCAGTGGTTTGTAAGATATTTTGCTAACAGCGGGGCTTGACCACAAGTATTTCAGCTGCTGTACAGATAAAAAACCAAACATGGTTCAGAACACGTACAGGTGAGGTTGTCCACCGTCAACAGAACATAAAAGTTTCCATTTAATTCCACTAAAAGTCGTTCAGCGCTGATTAGAAACTCCCTCCAGCCTGAAGCAGAAAGAAAGGAGATCCGCTCGGCCACAGAACCACCGGTCCCACTCAGGTCAGAACCGTACTGTTGGTGGAGACCTCCATTAGCCTCCTACACTGAGTGTGTGTGTATAAATACATATTTTATGCTGCTTCAGCTGGCTGCCGTGTTCGTGAGGTTACCCTCTGACACCCAGGCTGCAGAGTGGGTGAGCTCAGCATCGATCCCAAACATCTCAACACCGGATGAATCCATCGGCCCGAGGCAGGGAGAGAACGGACAGAACCGGAGAGAGGAGGCACGTTTGTTTAACCTACCAGCTCCTATCAGAGCGTCGTCTCTTCATCAAGCATCTGCCTCGTTCCTTATTGCTCCATCTGAGCCTCGTTAGTCGCCTCACCGTTCCTCGTTAACTCTAATCCTGCTCCTCGTTAGGAAACGACAGCTTCAGTGTGACGGGAGGAGGTCTGCGCAGAATCTGAGACGGAACAAAGACCCAAAAATCTTCTGTTCCGTATTCGTTTAATCCACGAGACCGCGTTCTGCTGAGAGGCCATCGAGTTTCACAAGAACAGTTAGTGTTGTTGCACAACATGTTTCCTCAACGTGAGGCGGAGAAACAAGGAAAGTAAAAACAAAAGGAAAACAGCTAAACG